AAAAAAAAAACGACCAAAGCAAATTTTGCCTCAAAATATTGTCTCGTAGTGTACCTCGAAGTGTACCTATGAAGTGTACTTTTGAACGAAGCGAGTTAGTATTAAGTAAAAAAACTGAAGAACCAAGAGTACTTATTGGGTTAGGCCATACCATTCCGGTGATTTCTGCATTTCCTATCTTAAATACGTGTAAAACTTCCACGTGACACGCTGCGCAATATCATTAATTTTTCGCGTTGTCTTACTCTTAACAGAGTCACTGCCGTGCTAGCCTTAACTGGAAAAAGAATGCAAAAAATGTCGATTTCAGTGCGATCACGTTACCATCATTGTAAAGGGAGTTTTTACACTTCACGGAGACGAGAAATGCAGGAATCGCAGGAATCACAGAAATCACGATTCACAGGAGGCCAAACCCAGGGCGTACAAAGAAACTTCCCACCCAAGCGCTGCACAATCCAGTTAGTATGGACCGAGAGATGGTTTACCAAAGCATACGGAATTGAGTTGAAACCTTTCCCAGAAAAAGGCACTCCATTGATTGTATGTACTAAGTGAAGATCAAATAAAGCAGTGTCTCTCGTAGCAAAAACAAGGGAAATATGCTAGATTTTCACAACAGATAAAAATAAAGAGAGAACTAAATCATGGACTTAGGCAGGTACATCTACCACATTTCGAAAAAAAAAATGGAAAACGATCATCGTGAAAAACATGAAAAAAAAGTTCATCACTTACCCTTCTTCACAACAACCAAGGAGAGTACTGATAGGTTAGCATCAACAATGCAACCGCGCACAGACTTCCTCTTCCTCTCTCCGGCTTTCCTTGGGCGATAGCATGAATCACCCTTGGAGAGCAGAAGACGCACACGTCCGTTGGTGAGTACTCCTTGCTTCATGGGGAAACCTTGCTTATCATTTCCTCCGGTGATACGGACAATGTAGCCCTAAAGAATATGCTAGTAACAAATTTGTCTTCCTTAAAAATTCATCATGTGCTTGTATGAGCTGAAACAAAACTAATGATGACAAAAAGACCATAAAATGGGAGAAATTGTCTATAATTTTAAAATTCAAGCTGTTCTCTTCACTCGAACGACTCGAAAGAAAGTCAAGCCGTCTTGGTAAATTCTCTACTGCTTCACACCTGACGGCTACGAACTCAGAAGGAAAGTAAATGAATTTCCAGAGAAGAAAGACTTTAAAAAGCACGATGATCTAATCGTGACAACCGAGACCTATTTCGAAAGTCTGCTTGATTTTCACCACTACCAGAACCCTTGGACTAGTAAAGAAGGGCGGTTTCTATTGAAGCAAGAAACACAAGGGTGAGGACTTTTCAAAATTTGCCCTCAACAAGACATCTAACCGTGAAAAGAAGAAAAGAAAGCATATAGGTAAACATGGTAAGAGACAAATCTAAAGAGAACTAACCTTCCATTCATCACCGAGACTATCGATCTCAACTTCTTGGGCCATACGCTTATCGTAAAATATACGAAGCTTCTTCTCATCTTCGACTTCTACCAGTTTTTGCTGTCCGGTCGCCGGATTGGCGAAGTTAAGCTTCATCTGTACAGATGGTGCTTGTTACCTAGAAGAAACTGTTACAGACGACGCCTACAAAGGTTAAAAAATCAATTTAAGAATCTATTTTTAAGAAAAAGAGCTTTTCAACAATAAAAAAAACCGCTTTTACGACGACTGACAACATCTTAAGGCCACAGTGACTGCCCAGAAGACGTAAACGAAAGCAACTCATGAAGAATTTCAAAAGCAACATTTCACTGTCTTGGCGAAACAAAAAAATCACGATTTAATACAGAAACTTTTAGGCCCGCGAAAAGGAATTCATGCTTGTTTAAAGGACCGAAATTTTCTACGCTACAGCAGCGCAATCCTCTCGAGACCCCCATTAGACTGGGCAGCTGGCGGATTTCCAGCCGTGCACAATCGCTCGATAACAACTTTACAAAGTAAAAGTTGGGTTTTTAATGGTTCTGCAAACCAAAAACATCCAGAGAGAACTTGTTGAACATGTCGAAACTTGTGTTAAGTGTTTGAAATGCTCGTGGAATTCAGTATCAAAGGTTTTGAAATGCTTCTGCCTGTGGTGGCTTTCGCAATCTGTCTCATTAATTTCTCATGTTTCTCTGTATCAGTTCCGTAAATAATTGTAAAAAGAAATGTTGTGCGCTTGAAATCTGCTCAGAATGCTCGTTTTCAGGCCAAATATGGTTGACTGCCCGCATATCTCGGGCTCGGTGTGCATCGCCGCCGTGAATCTTTCGCAACTCCAAATTCTTCGCGAATTCAACGATTCCGATTATGGAGCCCGAACATCCAACCGCTTGCAACGCAGAAACAGCCGCGAAGCAATGTGAGTGGCTTTTCTAGATATTAACAGGTTTTCACCCGTCAAAAATTGTCCGCGTATGGCGGCGCGGTCGAACATATCAAGGGTCCCTGGACGTGATCTGACTGGTCTTGGGTTCAGTGAACCTGTGAAGTCAGCATAAGGATGAGTTGAACAGGAAATTTCATTTTTTTCCCGTTCAATCACGGACTAGGGTCCTCAGTTTCTTAAAACTGCCTTTCTGGTTGATTTTCTTGCCCGGCTCAACATATATGGTCTGCTTCTTCCCGCAACCTTGGACGTCCACGAAAGGTGCCGGAAAGAACGCAGCCCTCGCACTCCTCAAAAATCCGTTTATGTTGTGGATCCCTTTCTTGGACGTAGAGTTTGTTACACAGCTGACCGAGTAAGTCGGAAGGGGGAGCGGAGACGTGGTTAGCTGAAGGTGAGCAACAGGCAGCCTACTCTTGGTAATGGCATGTTGTCGGCCGAAATTGGAGAAGTCAACGCCACAAGAAACAGCAATCACAGTCATCATCGTGTCTGCGAAGTTTCTGCTGAAATTCTTTGCCACTGAGCCTCCCTGGTCCCACTTTCTTTTGTGGGCTTTGT